ACACAAATGCAGAGAACAGTAATGTCCATAATTCTCTAATTGAGAGCAATATTTATGTAAGAGAAAAAACTTCTAGTGATCAGAATAAATGAATAACATAGGAAATGTGTTTGTTTCATTATGGACAAGATTGTGCATATTTCATAAAGCTTCCATCAAAAATGGGCCACAAAGCTAAAAATTAATGCAATGGAGTCCTTGATTATAAAGATGAGGCAGTGTCTCTCAGTATGATCACTCACACACTCACTCTGGGACAGTCTGAAATTGGCAGTGTCTCCTTTGGGCTCTTCCAGGACTGCCTTCTTGTGACAAACCCTTTATTTTTTTAATATTTATTTTTTAGTTTTAGGTGGATACAATATCTTTATTTTATTTTTATGTGGTGCTGAGGAGCGAACCCAGTGCCTCACAGGTGTTAAGCGAACACTCTACCACTTGAGCCACAACCCCAGCTCCTACTTTTTTCTTGATACTTCTGCTGAGTCACCTGAAAACCTTGGGAGGGTAGAGAGTAAAGAATTCTTTTTTTTTTTTTTTTTTTTTTAATATTTTTTAGTTATAGATGGAAACAATACCTTTATTTTATTTATTTTTTATGTGGTCCTGAGGATCGAACCTAGTGTGCCTCACATGTGCCAGACAAGTGTGCTACCACTGAGCCACAACCCCAATCCCAAGACTTCTTTTTTTTTTTTTTTTTCATCTAGGGATTAAGTGCATTTTAAGCATGGCCAACTGCTAAGGGGGCAAATCTCCTTAATGAGAGAAATCACAGGCATCAGAATAAAAATAATGAGATACTTTGGTCAGGAATGACTTTAGGTGTCCTCTGAATACTGTCGTCGAGTCTTGCTCCAATTGCTTCTTAGAGTCCGTTCCTTTTCCCAGGCACGGCAAGGAAGCTAAACACAGGTCACTCCATCAGGCCCATGAAAGTATTGTAAATCTTCCCTACATCAGCATTACCAAGTCAGCTCACCCTGCCCTCTCACACTGGAAGATTCTGTTTAGAAATATTGTTGACCTTTCTGTTGGGGGAAGGAGGAGAGAATGCTGATCTCAGGGGATTGTTAACTCGGTGGCAACAGCTCAGTGAACTCCCATTCTTGGTAATAGAAAATTTAAGTCACTTGTGTTTCTGAACATTGGCTCCCTTACTCCCTCTTGTGGATCATATGATGTATGACATACAAGATAGAGAAATTTATCTGCATTTTTGCAGTTACAAATATTTCCTGGGTATTGGTAGAAAGATGATTATAGTTAAATTGATATTTATTTATTTATCAGTTTCTGTGGTACAGAAGATTGAACCCAGGGTCACTCTTCCACTGAACTGCATCCCCAGCCCTTTTTATTATTTTATTTTAAGACAGGGTCCCACTAAATTGCCCAGGCTGGCCTTGAAATTTTGATCTTCCTGCCTTAGTCTCCCAAGTTGCTGGGATTACAGGCATGTACCACTGCACCCATATGGATTGATAATTTTAAACTGAACATTGTTAACTTATCTAGTCAAGAATTATATGGGCTGGGGAGGCTGGGGTTGTGGCTCAGCGGTAGAGTGCTCGCCTTGAACGTGTGAGACCCTGGGTTTGATCTTCAGCACCACATAAAAATAAATAAGTGAAATTTTGTTCAACTACAACTAAAAAAATTGTGTCCAACTACAACTAATAAAAATAATAAAAAATAATAAAAAAAGAATTATATGGGCTGGGGCTATAGCTTAGTGGTAGAGCGCTTGCCCATCATGCAAGAAGTCCTAGGTTTGATCCTCAGCACTGAAAAAGTAATAACCAACATTCTTTCAGTGCTTACTGATCCAAGTATTGCTAAGAACATTTTATATAAAGAATTACATAACTTTTTATTATGGAAATTTTCAAACGTAAAAAATAAAGAGCTAGAACACTCTCCACATATGCATCACTTGCTCTCAAACATCACCAACATTTTTTTAACAATATGTTGTTTGATCTGTCATCATTCTTTCATCCCCTCTCCCATTTTTTTTAAAGCAAATGTTGGATGTTCTGTAATTCACTTATCAATATATTATATTCTAAACTTTAAAAGTATATTAGCTATTTTAATCCAATAGATACTATTATTATTTCATTTTGTATATGTATAAACTGAAGCAAGTGATATCAAGTGACACACAGGGCTCAGGATTCAAACCCTTGACTGCAGAACTTGTGTGGTAGCCAGTCTCTAAGACAGCCTCCATGCCTGCCTCCTGCTGTCCATGCCTGGTGCAGCGTCTTCACACAATATACCAAGGTTGCACTGTGAGACAAATAGCATATGGTAGGAGTATTGGAATGTCTGGTTCCTTCTGAGGTTTCTTGCTGTATTGCAGGATCAGGGTTATGCAGCAAGCAAATCAATGCACATAACTCCAAATTCAACAAAAATTTCCCTTATCACTTTCCTTATGGACACAAGATAGCTATGGCAGTTTCAGACATCAGACCCATACCCACAATGTTTACAGGTGGTCTTGTATTTCACTGCACTTTAGTAAACTTAGTGCCTTCTATAATTCCTTTCAGTAATTAAACCTGGATACACTAGCTATAATGTATCAGGTTGAAAATGTAATATTCATTCCTCCCTGGCATTGAAACATAAAATGTTGGTCAGAATGACAGTCATGGTGACTCATAGTTTTATAAAGAACAGGTTTCATTATTTAAAGTCAGAGGATTCTAAGTAAGTTGCCCAAAGATATACCCAATTTAGTTTGAATGAGATTATCTTCTTGTCTATAGTGAACAACAAGAGGCATCCTTCCCTGCACCACCTCCTCTACCAGATCCATGTCAATTTCTAACTACATTACTTGAGCAGGAAGCTAGGCTTTCAATAAACACAAATCTGGGGTGAAAAAGCAAAACATAAAGGCCAGAAACCAGTCAAGTCTTTTTCTTTCAGGGAAAATAACAGAGCTTATTTAAACTCAGCAAGGGTGCATTCTTTGTCTGTAGCCTGGGAAGGTTGCCCTGAGGCTACCATGATAATGGAATTAAGGGTATCTTTGGGGATAATTTCATAATACCACCACTGTATTTTCTTGTTAATTTTTGAAGAAGATAGACCAGTGTAACTGACAATCCTTAGAAAACGAGTTGAAGAAATGAGGAAGGTCTAGAGACCACACACTTGGTCAAACCATTTTCACAATGCTATCTGGAGCTAGGTTGAAACGGTTCACTTCAAAGCTCCTGTAACTTGTTGAACCACATCTTCTCTGCTCTAACTCTGTGACACCTTTGATTATAACCTTTGTTTGTTATTGCAACTTGGCTTATAATAATTCTAATTTTGAAAGAATTATATTGCAATAATTCTAATTCAATTCTTCAAAGAATCTGATGATATACCTACTTCAACAACATAAATGATTGCTTAAATCTGTTTCATGTTAACTATACTTTCCTGGTTTGCTTCATATTTTTGAGGCTTATTTTTTAAACAGAAGAAATAATATATTCCCCTAAAGAGATTTAAAAACTTTTGCCAGGTGCAATGATGCATACCTGTAATCCCAGTGACTTGAAAGGCTAAGGCAGGAGGATTGAAAGTTCAAAGCCAGTCTCAGAAATTTAGCAAGGCCTTAAACAACTTGGTGAGACCCTGTCTCAAAAAATACAAAGGGCTGGAGATATGGCTCAGTGGCTAAGTGCCCCTAGGTTCAATCCCTGATATAAAAAAAATTTAAAGATTTAGAAACTTTATAATTAAGTTTAAATTCTGGGTTGACTGATTATGGAGTGTATATTGGCAGAGCAAATACAACTACTTGAGCAGTGTTCATTCATTAAAGAAATGTTTGTGTTGTGTGCTGCAGAGAATGACAAGTAACAATTCTTTCTTTAAGATGTTTAGCAACTATGCTTTATTGCTTTTGGAGTTGATAGATGCTGACCGACCCAATAGAATTTACCTTATGAATATATGGATATAAATCATGTATTTGGCCTATATCATAATAACAGTAATAGGTCTTTCCCATCAACATTCGAATGTTTTATCTGAAACCATAAACAAAAGTTCACAACAGCTGGGTGTGGTGGCATATGGCTATGATCCCAGTAGCTCAGGAGGCTAAGGCAGAAGGATCGCGAGTTCAAAGCCTGCAAAAGCCAGGCACTGAGCAACTCAGTGAGACCTTGTCTCTAAATAAAATACAAAATGGAGATGGGGATGTGGCTCAGTGGTCGAATGCCCTTGGGGAAAAAAAAAAGTTCACATTTACCAAGACAAAACCCTCTTTTTTCTTAATTGGTATGTTTATTAAAAATACAGACTAATAGTCGTGTGATTAAATGTAATTGTGGTTGGGTGCTGACTTCATAAGACAAGTAAGGGACTCTTCACAAATACACTCTGGACAGAATTAAAATGTAAACAGAAGTGACTGACAAGACAGTGCCATTTCAGACATAATCCCTTTATAATTAATAAAACAAAGTTTGTTGCTATTTACAATATCAACATTCACAGAGATCAAGTATCATAAACATAAGGGCACACTATAATTACAAGATATCTTTTCATACTTTCCAAATAGTTGTGCATTTTAGCTATAAAGTTCAGTTACCATAGCCCAACTTGTTTTATTTTTTTTTTAATGAAAATAAGCTTTATTACATCAAGTAATAAATACATACAAAGATGCAAACAGTTTTAGTCATTTTCTTCCAGATGTTTTGATCAACTTACAGTAAACACAAACTGAAATCTACATACAGTCTTAGTATGAAAATTTTCGGGGTCCTTATTAGATTTGGTAGGTTGCTCTTTCTTCTGTATTTATAACTTGTGCACTCTTAAAATTGACTTCAAAGCACTAAGAGTCATGCAAATGCTTAAGCAAAAAAGAAGTGCCAGTAAGCAGAATCTACACTGTATGGCACATGGGACCAGCTAAGTGAAGCAGGTGGTCAGGATGCATTAAAACAAAGTCCTTGGGATCAAATGAACTTATGAAAAGGTACAAATAACAACTTGGGTGACATAAAGTATTCAAAAGATTAAAGGGAGACACTGGTATCTTGGAGCCAAACAATAGTTTGCTGAAAAATAACTTCACATGCATCTTAAAAAAACAAAAACAAAAAAACCTGGGTCATTCCTAACTACTTAAAATGCAAATCCTAATTAACTTCGAAATCTTTTCCCAATATTTTGAGACTGTGAATCTTGGGAGAAAAAACTAAACTGTTACCATTTTGAAAATGAGTATTTCATCTGAACAGGGGAGATGAGCTGTAGAGAGCCAGGAACCCCCAAGCTGGCGGGGAGGCTAGGACCTGGCATTCCGTTCCGTTTCAGCCAAGCACTCCCGAACCAGTCCTCGTGCGTGAATGATGCCTCGTTTTAGTCTCTCCATGGCGCTCTTGCTCCCTGCATAGGTGGGTCTTATCTCCTTCCCCAGCTCTTCAATGATGGCCAGCAGTTCCGCATACTTGCTCTGGGGCACCTGGCTATTTCCAGTTCCCTGGGTGTAGCCCAGCGATGGTGGCCCATAGTCACTCAGCAGCTGGCGGTACTGGGAGGATGCTGCCATGCTGGTGGAAGGCGAGTGGACACTTCCAGCGGCGTTGAGGGCGGCGGCGGGCATGTGCGCGGCCAAGTTCGGCTTGTACCAAGATTTTCTACTTACTT